CCGCCAAACCGCTGACAACAAAACATGGCTAACACTGCCCAGAGAGTTTGAACAATAATCTATCTCTGATGACTGGAAGCAGACAGGTTAAACAGAGACTGAAGCAGGTGACACAGATGGATGGTGATGAGAAACTGTGCAAAGCTAAGCATGTAAATGGAATGAACAATGAAGCCAGTCATCAACACGAAGATCATGACAGGATTAACCTGGGACAAAAGTAGGATAGATTTTCATGGAATGAGGGAGCTGGAGGTAAACAGCCACCAGGTTCACCAATTTAGTGATGGGAAAGGGCCTGATAAAATGAGGTTCCAGCTTCCTAGTCTCCACCCTCAAAGGCAGGTCTTTTGTTGAGAGCCCAACCTCGTGGCCTTCCTGGTATTCGGGTGCCAGAGTTCTCTGGCGTTTAGCAGCCTTGACTTGACTATCCAACATACTGCAAACAGCTCTCCTAGCCATTCTCCAGGCTCATTGGCACCTAAGAGGAGATAACCAGGCCAACAGAACTTCAGAAACCTTTTCCTGAATGACAAACACCAGAGGCTGAAGCCCAAACAGAGAGGGACCAGTGGTTCTAGAAGTGGCAGAATTGATAGCATGCTTGACACAGGGAAGTTGGCTGACCCACTTAGTGGGAGCTAATTCACACAAAATATATAACCTAATTTCTATCTCCTGATTGGCCCTCTCAGTCTGACCGTCATTCTGGGTATGGAAATGTGACAACAGACTGACAATGATCCCCAACAATGAGCAGAAGTCTTTCCAGAACTGAGACACAAACTGGGGACCCTTTTAAGAGACTATGTCTGTCGGGAGAACGTGGAGATGAAAAACATCAGTTTCTCCCATTTCTTTAGCGGATAGGAGTTTGGGCAGCGGAACCAAATGGACCATCTTGGAAAATCTGTCAATGATAGTGAGATGATGATGGTGATGGTGTTACCTTCAGAAAAGGGTAACCCAGTAATGAAGTCCATGGTCGCAGAAAAGACCCTTTTTCTCAAAACATCAGTCACAAACACAATGTTATTAAGAAAATCCTCCGGTGTTTGATGATTACAGAGAACATCTCTCACTTCATTCTCGAAATTAACCATAATGACAGAGCATCTTACAGACTCAGGTACCACATACTCCTCCGTACCACCGGAGCTCTGTTCATCTGATTCAAACGCCCTGGACCAGGCATCAAGTTTATCATTTTTGATCCTGGGTTTGTAAGACAATGAAAATTTAAAATGCCCAAAAAAGTGCCAACTTTGCCTGTCTGAGGTTAAGTCTCTTAGACAACTTCTGGTATTCCAAGTTTTTATGATCAGTCCAAATTACGAAATTAATCTTGGACCCCTCCAACCACTTTCTCCATTCCAGAGTCAGCTTTATCACTTTAGCTCCCAATCCCCCACATCATAGCTCCTCTCTGCACATGAAAGTCACTTGGAGAAATCTTGTTATACCTGGCTTCTTAGCTGAGGACCACCTGACCTCCATTACTGGAGGTATCCTCCTCCACAATAAATTATCTTTTTCAATCGTGGGAAACCAAAACAGGTGCAAAAGTAAACCAATTTTTGAGTCTCTGGAAGGCTCGATGAGTCTGTTTATTCCAACAGAACTTAATCTTATCTGAAGTGAAGGCATGAAGGGGTGCAGCTATCTGACTGTAGTTTCTGATTAACCTTCTGTAGAAATTATCAAACCCCTAGAACCTCTGCAGTTGCTTTCTATCTTTGGGAACAGGCCAGTTGGTAATGGTGCTCACATATGGTACATGGCAATCTGATCAGGTGAAACCACAAAACCCAGGAATGACATAGTTTCAACATGAAATTCACATTTTTCATCTTTAACAAATAGCTTATTCTGCAAGAGGTGCAATAGAACAGCTCGGACGTGCTACGTATGGGAATCCAAATCTCGAGAGTAAATAATAATGCGATCCAGATAAACAAAAACACAATGTCCCACAATGTCCCTAAGTACCTTATTGACTAAATGTTGGAAGACAGACCAAATATTCGCAATGACCTGTTGGAGTGTTGAATGCTGTCTTCCACTAATCGCCCTCACGAATACGTACCAAATGGTACACACTGCAAAGCAGAGTTGATTAGAGGAATAGGGCAGCGGTTCTTAACCTTAATTTCATTAAAACCTCTAAAATCAAAGCAAAGTCTGAGAGACCCGTTCTTCTTGCCCTCAAAAAAGAAACCCTCACCAGCAGGGGGAGAGGAAGGGCCAATAACGAATACAACTTTCCCCTAGGGGGCGTAGTACCTGGTAGTAATTCCCAATTCATAAGGTCTATGCGGAGGCAATGCAGTATTCCAGCACTTATTGAATACCTCCTTGAGGTCATGATAGTCCTCAGAGACCTTTGGCAAGTCTGGATAATATTTATCCTCCTCCTTTTCGGCCAACAGTTGTGGTTTAGCGTATTGTAGATTGGAATCAGAACAAGAGGTAGCCCAGTCGAAAACCTCCCCTTTCTGCCAGTCAATATGCTGGTAATTTTGAAGAAATTAAGTTAAACTTAGAACAATATGGACATTAGGGGAATCAATAATCAGAAAAGACAACTGTTCAACATGGTTACTCCCCACCACAAGTTCAACTGGTTCAAATGGCCATCCAAGACTGGACAAATTCCAAACCGACCCCTAAAAACTACCCCTATGCATAAATCTCTGTTTTCGTTTTCCTGCGGAAGCTGGGTAGGGTAATAGGACAGTTCACCCATTAAATATGCATCATTGCAGTCTCACTGGAATTTTGTTGTGGGAGAAACACCTTCATTTAAGTGGTACTTCAATTGGTTTGCTGTATCTCTGCCACACTAACAGAAAGCCACAGGTTATGAAAAAGAAAAATATGTTACTATTTCCAAAAGGAGAAGTCTTCTTTGAAATAGTTGTACAGTATTTTACCCTATATGTTTAATTTCATGTCAGCTAAGTGAACAGTTTTTAATGTGTTTGTTTGGGAAACAATGGAGCTGACAGATTTAATCCTAAGTGCATCTCAGCACTGACTCAATATTGTTACCCAACGGTAACAACGGTTTTAATTATTAGGCTTACCGGTACTGGAGAATGAACTCCTAAGTCATACATTTTAAAGTATGACCAGAGCACAAAAAAGCATCTGCTCACAGAGAAGAACTTAACCATGACCTTTCAGCATTTGTAAATATGCCTTTTGAGGCTTCCTGTTAAACCAAGTAACAGAAAGTTCAGAAGCTGAGACCAATGCTGCTGTAAATGGGGAAGAAAAGGGTTATGAAATGTATCAGTTCAGAGGAGGAAGAGAACAGAAAAAAAATTATAAAAATCAGTAGCGTGATCATGTATAATGGTGCACCATAAAGAGCCCTGCATGCCTAAAGCACTGTTGCAGGTGGAAATAAACTTTGACCATTTGAGGTTTGATGAAACTCAGCTCTTGTGAGTGATCTAGAAGTCACTCTGTGGTGTTGGAAGCTCCAAGTTAGGTCCTGGCATTTTTGTCTTCCATCCTAAACGAGAAGGTATTTTCTTTTCTGCCTGAATCTTCTTCACATTGTGATCATATCTTCCACTGGGCACTGTGACAAACTGTGGCTCTCTTTAGGATGCCCACAATAATATCATGGTAAATGTTAAATGACCTGTGCTTATATAGCACTCCTTCAAGTCAGGAGTCTTGACCAAAGATTTTTACGACAGATTCTATGGTGGCCCACACGGGTCAGCAAAGTCCAAAAGCAACAACACAACAATGAAAATCACAAATGAAGTTAAAACTAAACTGAAGCTGCTTAGAACTGAGGCTTGCTTCAGGAAGATGGTTAAATGAAAACTTAAAGTTTGTTAACTGTGAAATCAAAGAAACACTGACCGTTTCTCAGTTCACTAGAACTCGAATACGGACTTGTCCTCGCCGAGTCTGTTCTTGAGAAGAACACAGAAAAGTATGGACTTGGTGAGAACTGGAGCATGCAGCATAAATATGGTTCAATTCGAATCGTACTCGTGACGTCACCACATGCCCGGCTCATTTAGAGCTGCATTTCAACTCCAGTTATTAATAGTCTATAGATAATAATAAATTATTACTTTTTTTAATTTAGTGGGGAAATAATAATTAACACAATCAGATTAACACAAATCAAATGAACATTTTGCCAAATAAAACAAAAAAATTCACCATCAGAGCCAGCGAACTTCACACACGGCTATGCCTAGAGAGGACTGCTGCAGAAGGGCTGTGGTTAGCCCCGGCTGCCGTTAGCGTCTGAGGTCCGCTGGATGGAGTGGTTCTCTCAACTTCTGAAATCTTTTTTTTTAATTACGCATTAAATCGGTAAATGGACCATATAGTCCAGAACCTTATCCTTCCTCATTTTTGCAGCATTACATAAATTTTTTTAACTGATATTTAATGGATATTATATAGAAAACTTCACAGTCAGACATTATTTGCTGTCTAATGGAAGACAAATTAAAAATTAAGGGAAACCCCATGAGATGATCTGAGGTCCTACCTGTTTGAATCTTCACCTGCTACCAGATGGGCTTCTACCCTGTTGGATTGCACCCTTGGGAGGTGTTGAAGGCACATCTCACCAGGGGATGGCCCAGGGGATGACCAATGACATAATGGAAGGAACAGGTGTTGATTTCATTAAAGAGGTTTGCTGAAAACTCTAATTCTTCTAAACTATAAATTTGAGAAACTCTGAATCACCCTCTGTTTCTGTTACCATAGTAACGGAACAAACTTAGAGTGTCATCTGTCACTGTTCTCCTTAGAGCCAAACAAACTTTATTGTTTCCTGATTTTGTTATGAAATTTGTCTGTTAGAGACACTAGGTTTCAAAAAACAAACATATAATGTTCTTTAGTGTCCTTTATTAAATAATGCTTGGCATTACTTCACAGAGAATTAAATATTTAGAGGATTCTACATTTCTGTTCTAACCAGTTATTTCTTTATGTGAGCAGTTAAACCCACTATGACTCTGCAACCCAACTGGTCTCCAATATTCAGAGGAGAGAGAGTCACTCTGAAATGTGAGATCCATGGAGGTGGAGGAACTAAGTGGACGTATGAATGGAGAACAACCAAGAGAAACTCTGCAACATTCAGTGAATACAGGACCATAAGAGCAGACAGTGACTCCTACAGCTGTAGAGGAAGAACAAACAATGAATTAACTCAATGGAGTAATTCTTTTTCATCAACTGTTTGTGAGTTATCCCTGTATTTTGGAAAATATGTTATGTGAAATGTTTCAATTTGTTTCATCTAACAATTTTTTCTATTAAAACATTCAACTTTGAGCTGTTGTTTTTCTAAATATTTTAGTGTATCTGTTTTAAAGTTTATGCTTAAAGTTTGAATTAAATATTTCGTAACATTAAGGCTTTTATCAGCTTTGTTAGTGTCTAACATGATCACAACGTTGCTACAGGTGAGCCAGATTATGTTGACCAGTAGAGAACAGTTTAGGAAATGTTCTGCCTTTACTCTTTTGTTTTGGATCATATTGGATTAAAATATACATTTTCTTCATTGAACAATATTTTTCAGTGAATACTTTCAAGAACAACATGACAACATAAACATTGTAAAGTTAACATTGGCTATACTTGCAAAATAAAAAAAAAATGTTTTAGTTGCCTACATAAATATGTGAGCCAGATAAATGTGAAAAAAAAAAAAATGAGAATAAAAATATGTTGGTCGGTAAAAAGTTGATCCATTGTTTATGTAAAATGTGGCTTTAAATTCTATGGGGATCACGTCTGATGTATTCCCCTAGCTGAGTGTGAGATTTATGGTGATAAAACACTTCATTAAACAATATTCTGGAGATTTACTTTTTTTCGTTTTTTCCTCAATAGCAGAAAAACCAAGAGCCAAACTGACACCAGAGGAAACAATCATACCAGCAGGGGGCAGTATAACACTGACCTGCTGTGTGCCCAGCTCTGCTGAATGGAAGTTTGACTGGTTCAGACAGAAGTCATGGGATCATGCAGCTCAGTCCATCAGAAACAATGAAACTGATGGATTTCTCAGAGTCTCAGAGGGAGGTATATACAGCTGCAGAGGAGGAAGAGGAGATCCAGTTTTCTACACTGAAAGCAGCAATAAAGTCTCTGTAAGGAAAACTGGTGAGTTTAGTTTCTGTTCATTTTTTAAACAAAAAGTGATTTCAGATTTGTTAAATGGTGGGGTATCTTTTTTTGAAATAATGATATAATAAGCAAAGCATACATTACTTACTGTGTTAAGTATTTTTATGACACAAACAACATGAGATCTCCTCCTGTTGACAGATTCAAGATAAATGGTTGGTCCTTAATTTACCAAATATAGTTGCAATGCTTTTTCTAATCCAATACCTCTCACTGTAATGAGCTCAGAATGTAGGACCCAGAATTCGGGGCGAGACAGGCAGTGGGAAAGTTCAAAGCGTTTATTTAACAGGACAGGTGCGCGGGACTGCTCGTCTGCTGCGGGGCGGATCTCTGCAGAAACGGGAGAATACAGATCAGTGACTGGAAATGGAGCTTAACACGACTTGGAGCAAAGTCACTGACCTGATTCAAAGTTCAGTCCGCTCGCGGAGCTTAGACCGCAGTTGCGGCGGGAGACGCCCCCAGAGTTCCTAGAGAGCGCGCAGCAGACACCGAGCAGCAACAGAGTCCTGAAGGGAAATCCAAGGCCGAAGTCAGTTCCAGGTTCAGAAGGCGGTAGAATCCAGGGTCAGACAGGACAAACAGAGCAGACAGGGGGCAAGGCAAAAACTCGAAATCCTCAGGGCAGAAACTGGTCAATATCAGGGAAACAGGCAGACTACAGATTGCTAGGGAACGTATCACAAAAACACAACAATAACCTGGCGCTGATGGGAGGCAAATACACAACTTAAATAGTAGAGGAACCAGGTGGAAATGATCGGCGATAATCAGCCGCAGAACCAATTAGACAGGGAGCAATGAGCAAAGGAAAAAACCAAACCATCAGCGCCGAGATCATGACACTCACTTATATTGACTTAAATTTGTTATGTTTTTTTTCATTTAGGATCTTATATTTCTTTATTTTATCAGTATCTCCCAATAGTCATAATAAAGCTAAAGGAAAGCAGGTTCTGCAGTGGGATAAAGCTTCAATCATCAAAGCCATGATGCTCTTTCTTTGCATTAGTTGGACTATTCATCTCTAGTTATCTTTCAGTTGTCATATTTCCTGTTTACTAACAATATTACATGTACTAGTGTTCAATTACAATTATGAAGTTTTGGTATCACAAAATTGTCTATATTTAATTGACTCCAAACAGACGTTACATTAATAATGAATATTAAGATCTAACATTTCAATCAAAGTCTAATTCCTCCATCATAGTGCTGATGCTGCCTAATGATTGATTTCAACAGGTGAGCTTCTCCCTGTCCTCTCTGTGTCTCCATCATGGCTGAGTCCTGGACCCTCAGTGACTCTGAGCTGTGAGGTTGAACCTCAGTCTGCAGGATGGAGGTTCTTCTGGTATAAAGCTGTTCCTGATTTATTAACCAGATCCTACAGCTTTAAGCTGCTGACTGACATCACCAACAGAACTGAACTGAACTCCTACATCCTTCATGGACAAAATCACACAGCAGGATATGTGTGCGGAGCAGGAAGAGAAGATCCAGTAGATTTCACTGCTTACAGTAAACTAAAGTTTATCTGGTCTGCAGGTCAGTATTTTTCTCTCTATGCAATAATTAAGCAGGAGCCATGTTTTAATAAGAATTCAAAAAAATGTTAGATATGTATCAGATTTATTGTAGTTTTTACCAGATAAAGTTAACATGGATTCTTGCTAAACGTATCTTATACTGTTTATAGGTAATGAGTGAGAAAATGATGATGCTCAAAGATATCTGTCAAATTTCCGATCATCTACTTTCATTTTTATTCATTACATTTAAAACAAGTCAATCTGATCAATGCTCTTTAAAGATAAGCCTAAAACTACATTACTAAACTAATGATATCCAGTAAAATGTATTAATAAACATCAACATCCAAACTGTTGATTCTTTTTCTGTGATGCTATTCCAGGTTTTTACTGCAGCTTCTTTCAGTTCTTGTTTATTTTGGGGGTTTCTCTCTCAGTCTCCTCTTCAGGAGGTGAAATGCATGATCTGTTGGGTGAAGGTCTGGTGATTGACTGGCCTTTCTAAAACCTTCCACTTTTCCCCTGATTGAGTCCCTTGCTTTGTTAGCAGTGTGCTTTGGGTCTTTGTCCTGCTGTATCATGAAATTCCTCCAGATTAGTTTGGATGCATTTTTCTGAAGATGAGAAGACAGAATGTTTCTGTTCATTTCAGAATTTATTCGGCTGATACCATCATCAGTTACATCATCAATCTATATTCAATTCAATTAAATTCAGTTTATTTATATAGCGCCAAATTCACAACACATGTCATCTCAAGGCACTTTACAGTTCAACCAGATCATACAGTCAAATTGATACAAACTTTTCTATCTAAGGAAAACCAGTTGATTGCATTGACTCATTGACTCAAATACAATCCCTCACACTAAGCATGCTTGTAGCGACAGTGGAGAGGAAAAAACTCCCTTTGAACAGGAAGAAACCTCCAGCAGAACCAGGCTCAGAGTGAGCGGCCATCTGCTGAGGCCGACTTGGGTTCATGGAGAAAGAAGCAGAGACACAAAAAGCAGCTGTAAAGGCGGGCCTGTCCAGAAAACACACAGCCAGGCAGACGAGCTCCGAGCCAGCTCCCATGTAAGAGGACGAAGAGAGCACATCCAGCCAGTCACTATCAGAGAAACAGGACCACACTGGAAAACAGGCCGATCTCCAGCATCTATAAACAAGGGTGTTGATTGAAGCAGCACAGCTGGTATTTCGTTCCAGGATGGCGTCACAGCCAAACAGGAACAGACGAGGCAAAGCTACCCAAAAGTCGAAACCTATAGCAGCATAACTATAGAGATAGCTCAGGAAAACCTGAGCCACTCTAACTATAAGCTTTATCAAAAAGGAAAGTTTTAAGCCTACCTTTAAAAGTAGACAGGGTGTCTGCCTCACGGACTAAAACTGGTAGTTGGTTCCACAGGAGAGGAGCCTGATAACTAAAAGATCTGTCTCCCATTCTATTTTTAGAAATTCTAGGAACCACTAGCAAACCTGCAGATTGGGAGCGAAGTGCTCTGTTAGGAACATAAGGAACAATCAGATCTCTGATATAAGATGGAGCTTGGCCATTTAAGGCTTTATATGTGAGAAGGAGGATTTTAAATTCTATTCTGGATTTAACAGGAAGCCAATGAAGAGAAGCCAGGATAGGAGAGATATGATCTCTCTTTTTAATTTTCATCAGAACTCTGGCTGCAGCATTTTGGATCAGCTGATGGCTTTTAACTACAGCTTGTGGACTTCCTGATAGTAAAGAATTACAATAGTCCAGCTTTGAAGTAACAAATGCATGGACTAGTTTCTCAGCATCACCCCTGGACAGGATATTTCTAGTTCTTGCAATATTCCTCAGATGATAGAAGGAAATTCTTGAAACCTCTTTGATATGGGATTTAAATGACAGGTCCTGATCAAAAACAACACCAAGATTTTTTACTTTATTATCTAAAATCAGTTTAATCCCATCCAAAGGAAGTGACTGACTAATCAGCTTCTTTTTCAAAGACTCTGGTCCAAAGACTATAGCTTCTGTTTTGTCTGCATTCAGAAGGAGAAAGTTAAGAGTCATCCAGGTTTTTATGTCTTCAAGACATGCCTGTAATTTATGTAATGGGTTAGCTTCATCTGGATTTATAGACAGATATAGCTGGGTATCATCAGCATAACAGTGAAAATGAATCCCATGCTGTCTAATAACTTAACCGATTGTTGCAGAAGCTGCCATGTAGTACAAAGCATGAAATTAATCTACTTTTCATGAAATTACCTCCACCGTGCCTCACAGATGAGTTTCTAATTTCCGATCATAAGTGGGTCATTTTTTTCGCCACACTTTTGTCTTTCCATCACTTTGGTAGAGATTAATCTTCGGCTCATCAGTCCATAAGATTGTGTTGCAGAACTTTTGGGGCCCATCTCTTTCTAAATTTCATTGCTGCTGTCCAGACTATCTCCATCTGAATTAAGTTATATTTTCTGTGATATCTCTGTATCTAAGTAACTCTAACTGACCATTACCACTTTAAAACATAGCGCTTTCTGCTGCACTTTTCTACTGAGCACCTATCAGTTTCACAAGGTTTTATTTCTGGTAGTAAGGAGTAGCTAGTCTAAGCTAGCGCTAGCTTAGCATCACTATGGCGTCTCTTTCTCCCTCCCCTGCTTCTTTTCCAACTCTTCCTTCTTCCTCTCCTTTCTCCTGCTCTCTGTGTCAGATATTCAGTTATTCCTCTGCCTCCTTTAATGATAATGGTATGTATAATAAGTATAGAATTTTTGTAGCTTTGGAGGCGAGGGTGTCAGAGTTAGAATTCAGGTTTCAGTCTGTTGAACATCCTGGAGTAAAAGTGGGCCCCCCACGTAGCCGTCCTCCAAAAGTGCCTGAGCAGCCAGGCGATTGGGTAACTGTACGTAGAAAGCGTAGACGTGGATCTCTGCCCACTGGTCACCACCAACCCGTTCATGTTTCTAACTGGTTTTCCCCACTCAGTGACACACCCACTGAGAAGCCCACTCTAGTGATTGGCAGCTCCAAAGTCAGAAACGTGGCGTTAGAGACACCAGGGACCATAGTCAAATGTTTGCCTACCTGAAACTGCTGCCTAAGTATAAGGTTAAATACAGTAAGATTGTTATTTACGCTGGCGGTAATGACATCCGGTTACGCCATTCGGAGGTCACTAAAATTAGTGTTGCTTCGGTCTGTAAGTTTGCCAAAACAATGTTGGACTCCATAATTTTCTCTGGTCCCCTCCCTGATCTGACTAGTGATGAAGTGTTTAGCCGCATGTCGTCTTTCAACCACTGGTTGTCTAGGTGGTGTCCTGAAAACAACGTGGGCTACATTAATAATTGGCAATCCTTTTGGGGAAAGCCTGGTCTGATTCGGAGAGACGGCATCTGTTGTGGAAAAAGTATTCAACTATTCATCCTAGTTAAATAAGCAGAGATCGATGGATTTGGCACATTTATTCATATCTTTGCAAAGAGAGAAAAGTTCATCATACAGCCCTTGTGGCACAGCATTCTGAGTCAAAAGAAATTACAGACACTTTGGTTAACATTAACATGCTATGAATAAAACTTGAGAAAGAATCTGGTTTGTTATGGGCAGTGGTGTCAAAAGTACACACATTTGTTACTTAAGTAGAAGTATAGATACTGCAGTTTAAGTTGAAGTATGAAGTATTGACCTCTTTACTCAAGTAAAAGTGAAAAAGTTTGTGCTCCAAAAAATACTTAAAGTAACCTTTAAAAAAAAAAAAACAGCCAGATGCCACTACATGAATTGAAAGCTCAATTTTTCGACTAGTTTGAAAAATTCTTTGAGATAGGGCCAAGGATGATGGAGGTCTTGTTGGTCTCCGTCTCAATCTCCCGATACGCTCTCGCCTGTGTCCGACCTTTAAGACATTTCAAGATCTTTTTCTGAATCCAACATTGTAGCATGGCATAGACAATTCACATTTGCAGTTTGAAGAACACCTGCTTGCTTCTGATGATTTCCTTTGGCTAATCAATGAGCGTTTGTGTTATATGACTCATCCAATTGCACTAGTTTTCACTAGATGTGGATGGTGCCATTGATCTGCATTGGATGGCGCACTTGATGTGAAATACATATTTATAAACATTAAACCAGGGGTAACAAATTAAAAATAAGCGGGTTCCGAATAAAGGAAATCATCAACCAGTAAAGTTTTCCGAGACATTTTTATAGATCTGTTACTTTACACAGAAATTAACACTGAAATAAAATGAGGTGTTTATGCATTCATGTTATACATTGAATTTTGAAATAAAAACAAATAGAAATTGCCAAACATTGCATCCTATGCCATCTCAGAGAAGTTGACACTTGTATGACTGTATTCCTGTATATCCATCAGCAGTTAAAGGACAAGAGTTGCAAATGCAAATTCTGCCCTTTCTGACCTTTGGCATTCTAGCTGTTAATTTGTTGAGGTAATCCGGAGAAATTGCACCCCACGCTTCCAGAAGCAGCTCCCACAAGTTGGATTGGTTGGATGGGCACTTCTTGCACTTCAGCTCAAAGGGGTTCAGATCTGGGGACTGCGCTAGCCACTCCATTACTGATAGAATACCAGCTGCCTGCTTCTGCTCTAAAAAGTTCTTACACAATTTGGAGGTGTGTTTAGGGTCATTGTCCTGTTGTAAGATGAAACTGGCTCCAATCAAGCGCTGTCCACTGGGTATGGCATGGCGTTGCAAAATGGAATGATAGCCTTCCTTATTCAGAATCCCTTTTATCCTGTACAAATCTCCCACCTTACCAGGACCAAAACAACCCCAGACCATCACATTACCTCCACCATGCTTAACAGATGGTGTCAGGCATTCTTCCAGCATCTTTTTATTTGTTTTGCGTCTCACAAACTTTCTTCATGATCCAAACACCTCAAACTTGGATTCATCCATCCACAACACTTTTTTTCCAGTCTTCCTCTGTCCAATGTCTGTGTTCTTTTGCCCATCTTAATCTTTTTCTTTTATTGGCCAGTCTCA